ATAATTAATACGAATGTCTACCAAGGCAACAGTTCTGAAAAAAAAAAAAAAACCTGGGGAGAAATCCAATAAGGCATCTAGCCAGTAGTACGGGGCCATAATAAGGAAAGGCAAGTTTCCATACTAACTCCTAAAGTGGAAGCATACAATAGGATTAGCCTTATCTTATTTAAGTTTCTTAGCAAGTCTGCATCCTCCAGACAGTGTTCTGTTTCCAGTAGGACTCAGACTCCACTCTTTATATGAAGCAGCAATAGCTACGCTTGGCAGAGTTAGAAGCATGAGAACATCAATAGGCAGAATGGTAGAATCAGGTTTCACTTGAAGAAAAATAAAATTTCAGGCTAGATAAAAATAAGCCAACATATTCAAAGCAGCTTACAGACTACCATTTTTAGGTCATGCCTTGTACTTTTGCCTGCTTTTCAGTTCATATGTAGGAAGGTAAGATTATAAAGTGGCTTCCACATGGCATTTCAATTCAGATTATTCTCTACATAATAATTAAATGCCTTTCTTCTCAACACTTACATACTACTTCGCTAGTCTGAGAATGTTTTTTGTATTTATCCATTTCTGAGAAGGTTTTTTAATCCCTTCAAAGTAGGAAAGTCCTAAATAGAGCTAATCTCATGCTCCATGAACTTTAGTGCAAATGCTGCAAGCATTTCTGTTCTTCTTAACAACTTCATTTTAGTGTTTATATGGGAATACAGCGCTACTACCATAACCAAGCAAAGCAAATATGCTGCAGTAAATGTAAACTTTGAATAAAGTGTAGCTTTCAAAGTATTATGGCATATTTCAGCCCAGACTGCCAGTGACAGACCTTTCATGTCAACGAGAATTTTAGAATGCTCAGACCAGAACCCACTGGCAGTATGTTTTCTCCACAGCATGTCAACCTGTTTTCTGAAACCAACTGCATTTCAGTTCCAGATAGAAAACATCTGAGTAGAAATGGTTGAATAACGGGAAAATCTGGCCTCTTTAAACAAAAGGGCAGGATGGCTTGTTGGAATTATGCCTCATCCTTCTGAAGATTCATGTATTGCTCCTTATAGCTCTGTCTTTTAGAGAGTAGCAGTAGGCAGCACCTCTGATGATTTGGTATTCTTTAACAGGAGACAAAACACGCAAAAAGATGTCAAATAAGTTCATGACTGTACAAACACCAAAGACCCAACTCTGCCACTGAGATCAAATGAAGCTCATATTGAAACATTTTGTTTACCTAATGGAAGCATTTCAGAAAAGAACTTAGGCTGTTCAAAATTTTTCGGTAATACTTGATATCCAAAAATCTATTTATTATGTCTACACAAGCAGATGCTAGATGTAAACTGTCCTTACCTTTACTCAAAACATAATAATCACACTGTCTCAGCACACTCATCTACACTACTACCAAAAAAGCACCGTCACAGCAAAAGATACATTTAACACACCTTAAAAATTCAGTATTTATATTAGAACTACCTTTCCCCCCCAAAAATAGGTAGATTTTTTTAAATATTACTTCAAATTGTATTCAAATTCAGGACTGTGGATCTGATACATTCATCTAGATAAGTAAAATCATTATAAATTATTTGGATCCATATACTTTTATATCAGATCTCAAATGGTAGCCGTTCCAAAGAAAAAAACAATCAGCAACATTACACCCCATCTTAAATGCATTTATCATCATCTTCTCCATCTTAATAAAAAAGAAAAATCCAAACAACTCCAATCTAAGACTCTCATACAACTCACATCTTCATCTTCCTCTTTGCTAGCACGTACCCAGCAAGAAGGACCTCAAGCCTACCTGTCATCTTTGGCTGCTCTAAGGAAGGTCTACACCGCAACCAGTTTCGAGTTCTTTGCAACATCTCATGCCACTTACTCATGATGAAATTGTTAGGTATATGGAAGAGAAAAATGGTTAGAGATGATAGAAATCTGGATCAAAGTTACTACAGAAATGTGATCAGAAATAAGGAAAAAAAAAAGGTTAGAAAGCAATTATCTAGTTCTGATTTTCCTTCTGGCAATCAACATAATCATACGAACCACCACCAAGGAACTTCCATAGGTAATACAGACATCACTTGGAGAAAGCAGCATCAGAAACCGTTTTGTAAGAGCTATTTTAGAAGAGAATTCTTGCCAGAAATAAAATGTTTAAGGAAGACTCCATTATGGAGGAAAATAATAGGCTGTTGATATTTCTTTCCTACACGGTTTCAATAGCCAAAGCAGACTAACTGGGAGCAGAGAGGAATGGGAAAGGAAATAAAGGCATAAAAGTTGGTTACTACGAAACTTCACTCTGTTTCACATCTTAAGGAAAAAAATAATTATATTGTAAGAACTTTTTTAGACTGAGCAAAAGCAACACTCTCATTTTGTTTGTTCTAGCAGTAATAAATATAAACAAAACAAAAAAAAAGGGCATTCAACGATTAAAGCTTCTTCTGTAGAAAGTTATGCTAGCCCTTAACACTTAGTTTGAATGGAAGGCTGTTTTTTGTTTTGTTTTTGAGGGAAAAGATCCCACTAAAAGTCATGTGTAGCATGTAGACAGAGCTATACTTTAACTCAGGAAATTCAAAAAAAAACCTCCAAACAACTTAAAAAAAATCATAAGCAGATTTCTATTTTGAAACTTCAATCTAGTATTAACGGCAGTAGAGAAAAAGCTATGAATAAAACCCAACCCCATAATATCTCAGATATAGCAATGCCTGGATAAATCAAAATCATCAGCTTGGGTTTGTGGTGCAGAAGTTTATAGTTGAACGCAGCTGGATCACAGTCAGCTTGCCAGCTCCCAGTACAGCACCTCCAAGCCGTATTGATTTCTGCAGAAGAAAAGGCCCCATAAATCTGCTTGAACAGCATTGCGTCATCCCTCTGGTTGGCTTCAAGAAGCAAATTAAATGTTTTCCATTAGCATGGTAAAGAAGCTATACAATTTTGTTTTTATTTCAAATACAGGCTCAAGTTACGGAACACTTGAGCTAACTCTGTGGCCAGGACTACATGTTTCGCGTTTGTAAAGCCAGCAATTCATGCTTATGGGAAACCAGATGTGTATACTGCACAGTTCCCAGGACCATGGATTATTTTGAAATATGTTGTTGTTGATTAAAAGGGAGAACCCATTTCCCAGTAACACATGGAATACACTGAAGGAAAAACAACATGCTCCTACAGGAGAGGCAGAGAACAAAGTGGTAGGAGCAAAGAACGAAGGAAAAACCAGCAATGCTGTAGTATAACAAACAGCAACAGCTCTGCGAAGCAATAAGCAGAATATTACTTGAGGCAACAAGAACTCCTTGATCAATTATTCATATCACTGACACCAATTGTTACAGCTGTATCAATGAAAAAAATCTAGGGCAAATAGAAAACCTTCACAGCTAGAAAGTGCCCTTGATTTTCACCAGAACATTTGGCTGCTTCCTATCATATGTTTCTGGTTAGCAGAACAGCCGTCCAACAAAGGGGAAGAAAGAGGCAGAAAGATGCAGAATAAACTGATTTACTAGAAGTAGTAACAGCATTCAAGGCTGCATTTCAATCCATGCATTGTACACCACCAAAAGCTCAGGGCACCTTGCACTTCCATACATGAATCACCACCACCACCCCATTTAAGGGCATCAGTGCACACTAAAGATTATGCAAAAAGCTCCTATGAGGTCCTTACACTCTCACTGCATACAACTGTACTTCTTATATAACATGTGAAAGAAATACTGCTTTTTTTTTTTCGTGGTTACCACAGCTTGTATTGTTTCATGCAGTCCCAAGGTAAATGTAACAAAAGGAAACGTTGAACAGATAAGTATTTCAGGATTTTTGCCCTCCCATTCAAAGTCATTATACAGTTGTCAGTTTTTCTGCTCTGCCAAGGTTTCAATACAGTATCCTCAGTTGTTCAAGATGGCCTTGCTGGCAGACAGAAGAAACTAAGTGAATTTAATGACGTGAGAAGCAGAGAGAAAGGGAATGGCATACAGAGGGTGCTCTGTGGGCCTCCCCTTGCTTGGTGGTCTTACTTCCAAGCACATATAACAGACCTTATGGGGTGAAATACTGAATGTAAAAATGGTAAAATCGAAATCAGTTTGAGTTTTTCTCCACTAATGTTTAATGATGAACTTTGGTCTAGTTCAGAGCCCTGCTTTCAGAGAAAGATCAGTGAGGGATTAACAAGAAAAATCTGCTATTCTTAGACAAATTAAGGAAAATTTATTTACAGAACCTTCAATTTTTAAAGTTAACACCTTGCAAAAGCTATTTTAAAATTGCAGAAGTTGGAAGACCTTTAGAAGGACCTAAGTTTAATCTTAAATTGTGAAAAATACTGTTTCCATTGCTACCATTTTTTTCCCCAAATCAACCATCTACACAAAGTTCTATCAATCTTGTCAGTATAAAGGACTCAGAGGGCACACATCATCACCACATTCAAAATCTTGTCTTTCTAATAAAATCATAGTATATTCAAAAGCCCAAAGTAGCACTGACAAGTTTAACAAAGTTCTTGAGGTCTTTTTTGTCCTCATCCACCAGTGTTTGTCCCTTATGTGCACGAATGAGTTCTGGATGATCAAATGAAGAGAACTTTAGTGCTGGTAAACAGAAATCCAGCATACACAAACCTCACTCTCCTCTTGTTACTGCAGACATCCAAAAGTGCTTCCATAACTTGGGGCCACTCCAAGTTCCAAATGTAGAAATTAAAAGGAAATTTATTTCTAAAAACCCAGCACACCGTTGAACTCTCAAAGTTTGCTTTCTTGTCAACAAAGAACCACAGACACACATTTCTACCAATATCACAAGGAATTACTTCTGGCTCTAACCTGCAATGCACTATGTTGTTTCTGCAATCAAATGAAAACACTCAGAGAATCATTGGGCAGGGGGAAGAGAATGGAAATTCTTATCTTGCAAATCATACTAGCCACTTCAGTTTGCTATAAAAATAATCTCCTTACCTTGATGTAAAACTTCTGAGCTCCCGATATATCTGCTTGACTTGTTTGAAGTTCTTCACATGTAGCAAAGGTCTCCAAAGGAGGCTGGTCTCTTCCCCCTGGAACTCCCAGAGGCTCCTTGCAGCACTGCCTGGAGACATAGCAACAGGGAAGGCATTTAGCTTCGTGATTATGTGTTATGCCATGTGTCATCAAAGTCATCTTGCAGGCCCTGAAAAGAGGTGACTAGTGATACTGGACGAGCATTCAGTCAGCCGGAGTTGTCCTGTATCATTTATGAGTCCCAAGAGCAGAGTCTTGAAGCCCTGCAATTTAACAGGCAACCTACAGTTATAAATCCTTGGTCACTCAAGCCATCATTTTTCTCCACCGAAACTGCTCAGTGACATGCTTCAGGAATGCTTCAGCATATAAGCAACAGGCCCAAGCAGAGAGACATCTTCAAGGCAGGCACTGAGTGCTGTGTCAGAGCAGACAAAAAAAATCCAGCCCAACTCCCATGTTACTCCCTTGACCAGGGTCTCCTCTCAGCTGAACAGCCCTTATTAAACATATGCTGCACTCCATTTCACTTAGAAAGAAGTTAAAATGACAAAGTCCTCCAACTCCACCATAAGCAGGTAAGGGTAGCAAAAAGACTGGCTTCTTCAGATGAACATCTACTAAAAGCTGTTTCTTACGTGCAAAATAGCCATACACAATTTACAGAAATATGTTCTTAATCTCTGTTTAAGTTAATGTTTTTTTTTTCTCTCAACGCGTTACTTGAGGTGAGCTTGGCTCTAACCATAATGAGAATAAAATAAAAGAGAAATCCTAAAGCATCTGAGTTTTCTGGGGTGTGGTTGTACTTCAGATACATGCTCAGAGGGACTCCTGCTGGCACACAAAACCTCCTTTTAATCAAGCATTTCTGAGCAACTTCAAATGATATTAATCTTCCAACCATTGTTACTAATTCAAGAAACAGGCTACAGACACTGTGAAACACAGAATTCCCTCCCTAAAAATCTCAGAACTACTGAAGCACAAGTTGAAGGAAACAGTTGCCTAACATAGTCAATACACAGAATAAGCAACAGTACTTGCCAGGTATCAAAGGTTTCCAAGGGCCAACCTTCAGAGAAATCTCCTGAGTCTGCGTTTCAATGTTCTTAAACCTAAGATAAGAAGATCATTTGCTTGCAAATACATCTGTGGTGGGCAGGTGGATAGGACCAGCAACAGCTTGCCTTGAATATTTGCTGCCATTGAAACAATGATACAACAGAACCAAGCAGAAACAGAGGGGATTTAGGGACAGATGGGCACCTTCCTGTAAGTGCTTACAAATACGTACATAGCGAATCTGTTCCAGCCACATTCCTTGACCAGTGCCTCAAGCAAGATCTTATACACATTTTTGTCTTGAAGTTGAGTAACAGTTACTAGACTTATCAATTGGTCTTGGCAGGACATAAGACACCTACAAAATCCCTAGAAATCACTGCTTAAAATACAACAGTGACAAAATTCTAAAGGAAAAAATTCTGCCTTGTTTTGAAAACATTCAGCTTCACAGATGAATTCCCCCATTTCTGCTCTGCTGAAATCGGAGTTCCTTGTTTTCTGCTTCTCTGGCAAGAATAAGTCATTGTGTTACAAGTCTGCGAGAAACATGGGTTTGAGCTCCCAAGTGTGCATCTAGTGCTAGCAAGGCATCTACAGGAAATACACATCTGAGCTTAATACATTCATTTTTAAAGAAGAAAGCATGGTATGAGAGCATACATGCGTAAACAAATACATATAAAGTATCTGTGCAATCATCAGTCATCAGCTTCTGAGATACTCAGAATTTCACTTAGAAACATTTTTATGCATATTTATGTTTTATATATATATATAATGTATATATATAAATATATAGATGTAGATATATATATAGACTACATCTCAAGTTTCAGCCTTTAGCCAACAAGCTAGAGCCTTTTATGACACATGCTGTTTCCTGCTTCACTGTCCAATATAAACAAGCCTTCGGACTTCCTTTTGAAAAAGTTTTTGTCCTCATTTATGTTCCCGTCTTCTTTCATTCTCCTGCTAAGTGTGTGAAATCAAAGTTTCAGTACTTACAAAAATACACATCTCAAGAAAGGGAAGCCAAACTTAAATCAGAAGGATTCACGAATGAATGGACTTCTTATTTTAACAATCCCAAAGGCACCTACTTAAACCTTCAAACCTCACTTGAGTCTACCCTGAGGTTTCTATAATCCAAAGTAAAGTCTTTAAAAATGTAGGCTTTCTTGACAAAGAAATAAGCTGATCTGGGAACTCAGCAGCAGGTGATTAAACATTTGATAACTTGATGCTTTGATTAGGCGTTACCTTAATCGCTGTCACTGGGGAGAAACTGAAGTCAGGAAACAAAAGTAGACGGCTCTAAGGATCTCGCTACTTAGATGAACAGGATTCACTTCATACACAGAAAGAGATACGAGTGCTTTCTGCACCCAAACAGAACATAGATCCTTCAGAGAATAACGTTATTTAACAATGTGGACAAGGTAAAGGAAACCTCAGCCACACATGTAGCTAGAAAGAAGAAAATATTTGCCAGTGGGCATTATGCCAAAAAGATTTAGTCTGTTTAAATATACCCTAAATTTTCACAGGCAGGAGAGCTGAGTCACTATTCTTTATATCTCTAGAGGTTTAGGGAAAAAAAGCTCAGACATAATTTAGGAGTCGGAGTCAATTTAGAGAACATAATTTTCAGAAGCATTAGTTAGTGGAGTTTAGCTAGGAAATGGCCATATCCATTAGTTCTGGCAGTTTCTAAAACGTGTGTGTGGTTTTTTGTTTTTTTTTTAAGGAAAACACAATAAAACAAAGTTAATTCACTCACCTATTTGGCATTAAACTACTCAGAAGATGACGGAATCAAATTAAAGAAACCCAAAACAATCAGAAGTCATATTTCCCACAAGTGATGTTAACACGTTCTTATTTCACATAGTACTATACTATTACTTTATACTAACTGTGCTGAATACACACAGAACTGTCTTAAACATAGAAGCTTTTGCTTCTGAGCTGAGAACCTTGACTTTTGTATTTTCTGACTTTATACAGAGCTGGAAACAATCTACCTCATTGATGCCCACGAACACTGAGTTTCATCCCAAAGAATGACACCTGCAAGAATCTATGAGCCTTATTCTCCATATGAAATCTGATGAAAATATTCCTAATGCTCTAGAACAAGAATTGGATCAACTGGAAGGCAGCAACTTCTTCAAAAGCCTGAAGAGCTTCACTATCAATATGCTGGTAGCTGCAAGCACTTCATCACAAGGCTCCAAATGAGCGCAGCTACACAGCCACAGCATACTGTCAGGGAAAGTTACAATATACTTATAGAAGCAAAAACTACATTAATTTCCCAAATGTTAATTACAAATGTCAGAAAGCTTAAGTGAGAAGCAGATTACCAAGTCCAGCATACTAATTTTTTGTTTGATGGCCTGCATTTATATATTTTTTTAATCATACATAAGCACAGAAGAAGCAAAAAACAGAGTTTAGTTTAAACCATGTTAATTTCTAACCCACATTCTCAGATATTCTCTTTCCTAGTCTCCAAGATGGTTTCATTTAGGACTTGAAGTTACAGAGTAAGCATTCTGTGTCCATGGAAATGCATCAGGTGCAGACAAGCTGTCATTTTATGACATGCACCATTTATCAAGAAAGGAATCAGAACAGAGTCCTTAATACAATCATACGACTGCTTACAAAATTACAGCTTCTGACCTTCCAGACTTCCTTTCCTTACTTCTTTTAAAGTTAACTTCTTATAAAATAAAAGGACAAAATACACATTTATTCTAAGAACCTTTTAATGAAAGTCTAGCATTTTCCTGGAATGAATCATAGTCATGAAAATCTAATAGAAGAGAAATGCATATTTAAAAAAAAAAAAAAACAGATTTGCTGACCAATGCATTACCCATCTCCACTGGGTGGGGATTTTTCCCACCTGGAATTAAAAAACAAAAGAAAATAAGTACAGACATTATAAAAGTAGTAATTAGGGCTCTTAATTATCAGTGGGCAGCCAAGTAAAACAGGACCCCTAAATGTGTAAAAAGAGATGTGATATCCTTTGTGGAAGAAATTGCTTTGGATGGCATTGGAAGAAGATGGCAGAGAACATTACTCACAGGGAGGATACAACACTGAAGCCAAGCATCCATGCAGAGGACTGGGCTGCAGGGCTCTTTTCAATTTGAATATTCACCTCTAGTCAAGAGGCTCACAAGCACAAAGCGTGCATATTTGTGAATGCACCTGGGTTTGGTGATGATAGGTGAGCCAGAAGCACAAAGGAAGGGGGTGAAGAAATGTAAGTGTATGTTAAGTGCACTTTTAATATGTGTGTGTGTGTGTGTGTGTGTGTGTGTGTGTGTGTGTGTGTGTGTGTGTGTGTGTATATATAAAAATTAAATGAGGAATAAGTATAATGACGCTTCAAGTGACAAGAGAAGACAGGCTTAGGTAGTGGACTTGAACACCAAATACCAGGAAATTTATTCATAACAATTGATATCTTACTCCTTCCTTGTGAAAGGAAACAAAAACATTGCATTGCCTTATTACTTTAAATATTACTGAGAACCATAAAATACAAAAATCAGAAGTTGAAATTAAGGCAAAAGACAACTCTATAAATATAGAGTCGCTACCGATTTCTCCATAGTTTTAGCTATAGTCTCCTAAAAAGGGTAAGACAGATGCAACCATGTAATTAAGAGTGACTCACTCACAGATCCTGACATGCATGCCAATGAGATTCCTGATTTGAGGGGTCTTGAAAATAGCTTGAGATTTGGACGCAGCCACCACAATTTCTATGTTTAAGAAACAGTGTACCCTCTGAGTCTATTGAGGGCTCTGGGAACACACATCATCTTAAAGAGTAAGGTCCAAAATACAGAAGTTTCTTAATTACAGTCTGGCTATAACACCTGAAATAAACCAAATTCTGAACTGTTTTAAATTTTACGCAAGTAGGAGAATGGGAAAGGTGAGCTATATTTCACTGATTTTGCTGGATGTTTAGCAGTGCATGGCATACATTCCTTT